CTGATAAGGGTGCGAGGCAGTTATCAGTGGTGTGTCAAAGGAGAGGACGGGTTGCTGCCCTCTAACGCAGTCGGTCCGCTGGTGGTAACGGGTCCTTTTGGGAGATTCCCAGGGGCGTATGGAGTCAGAAGAAAAGCCCCAAATACCCTGCCGACGTTACCAAGCGGTGTTACCTGTCGGCTGGCGTGAAGGGAAGCTCTTGTGCGTGTGCAGCTGTCACCCGAACGAAGGGCTCCTTGATCTTCTCGCACGGGAAGCTCTTCTTGAATGTCTCAGAGGGCGTCTCACGTCGCCCCTCTCTCTCTCTGTTTCAGGTGGATCTTTCCGTCACTTCCTCTGGCAAGTCTGTAAAGAGTTACAGAGCTCCTCGCTCTCCCTTCTCCTGCTGTGCCCGAGCTCTGCAGTGAACAAGAACAAGGTGTGATATCTCAGGGCAACAAACGAGGTCGCGTTTCTCTTCCTGCACACGTGTGTTTGAACGGGAGTGGAGCAGAGTTACCAGCACAGAGCAGGGCTTCAGACCAACAGCCCCTGGCCAGGCAGCTCTCGCAGCCCCGACGGAACTGAATGTGACTGTCGGTGCATCCCGTTGCACCGCTCGTGGCCCTGTGGCTACTGGAAGAAGGAGCCACGTAGTCAAAGCTGCTAAACACAGTGGAATTAAGACTCCTGGTCACAGCTCACTTCTGAGTGAATCTGGTGCAGTTGTCTGATTTAGGGACTGTCCATCCCAAACCAGTGAGGTCATCCTCTGCTGGCATTACGCAAGGAATGTCACCAGGGAAGTCAGTTGTGATGCAGTAGAATCAGACACTCCATCCACACTACTGAATGTATATTTAGTGTCCTCCTGTTCTGCACAGTGGATGCATTCTAGAAACAGCAGGTTGTTTACAGCCCAAAGGATTTACGGTAGTGGAGGTGCAGTTCCTTCTTAGGAATACCCACAGGGGAGGAAAACGGCTCGTTTCCCTCGAGACCGAGTACGTAGCACACCTGGCTTTGCGCATCCAGGCTGTGTCTCGGAAACGGCCCACAGCTCAAGAGGCTGATACCCAACTGCTGACACAAACGCGGAAATGGCTGGTGAAAAGAGCGGGGCTGTCGAGAAACCGTCGTAATGCTTCTAATCGTTAAGCGATATGATAACGTGATATCATGACATCAGCTTGCGGGCCCGCGGCGTGTGCGCCAGCTGTTAAGTTGTGCTGTGTGTGCTCTGCTCTTTTTCTGAAGGGGAAGTATATCTTGACACCGAGCCCCATCACCTACGCCGAGGAGCAGTTACTCCACTTCTTCGGGCAGCTCCTGGGCATTGCAATTCGAGCAGATGTCCCTCTGCCGCTCGACCTCCTGCCCTCCTTCTGGAAGACGCTGGTGGGCGAGCCGCTGGATCCTGATGTTGATCTCCAGGAAGCTGACATCCTCACCTACAACTACGTCAAAAAGTTTGAAAACGTAAGGAACGCTTTTCTTTTCCCTCCTCCTTGGTTTCTCCAGGGTTTCCCCCGTAAGCTCGTTGTTCTGGTGGCTGTGAACTTCGCTGCCCGCCCTGCAGGGTGGCGGCTGGCTTCCCTGCTGGCAGATGTCGGCCGTGTGAGCAGGGTCGTGAAGGATTTTGACTTGTGGGTGCAGGAATTTACATCCTGACACCTTGGAAAAGCTGCTCAGTCTCCTCCGCTGCCAGGCACAGGGGAATTATGGCTTCTGAGGTGTTTGCTGGAACTCGGCAGTGCTAAACCAGAAAAGAGCCCGCCGAAGCCACTCCTGGCTGTCTCGGGGGCGTTTGCAGGTGGCGGGATGAGCGCGCTTTGTACGTCAGGGTGACACCCCCGGTGCCTCGCAAGGGTGATGTACCAGCGGGCTGGTGCTCAGATACTGTCCTTGTGTGCCCTGACAGATAAACGACGAGACGGAATTGGAAGCTCTGTGTGCAGAAATTGCTTCTCAGCATCTCGCAACAGAGAGCCCTGACTGTCCGAACAAGCCGTGCTGCAAGTTCACCTACCTGACCATGACGGGGGAGGAGGTGGAGCTTTGTCCCAGGGGCAGGCACATTCCCGTGGGGTGAGCAAAGGCGTTCTCGGTGGGATGTTGCGCTGGGTTATGTGCAAAAGAAGCACCTCTGGAACAGTTTTCCAAGCACCAGGCCCTCCAGAGGTGCTTTTGTAACAAGCTGGAGGCTGGAATGGTCTGGGAAAGCTTTGCATTCACTGGCAGGAACTTGGAACCTGTAGCACTGCCTGCCGCTGGGCAGAAACGGAGCGCTGAGGAGCACTGCTCAGCTGCGTGCTGGCTTCAGTAAACACCTGCAGCCTGAGAAACGGGAGAGAGGAGGAAGCTGAGGGAAGGGGAATTAAACTGGGAAGGACCGGAATGCAAATAGCTTAACACGCACTCTCGATTATTCCAACGCGGAATGTCCCTGTGAGGGTTTGGGGTAGGACAAGGGTTCTTCAACACAGTCCTTTCTTGTCCTGCGTCTCTGCCCTCGCAGGTGGGAAAACAAGGATGTGTACGCAACAGCCATCCGGAGCTTGAGGATGCGCGAGCTGCAGACCCCGGAGTGCATGACGGCGGTGCGCGCTGGGCTCGGGTCCATCATCCCCCTGCAGCTGCTGACCACGCTGACGCCCCTGGAGATGGAGCTGAGGACATGTGGGCTTCCGTACATCAACCTCGAGTTTCTCAAGGTGTGAGGAACGGCGGCTTCTTCGGCAAAACGCCCGGCGCGTAGAGGGGACGGAACCCTCCCGCGTGGAAGGTCTCGGGGGAGAATCTTCCTCTGGCGATGCAGCCGGCATGGTCCGTGTGGAACACCGGCCTGTGCCAGGGATGCCCCTTTGCCCCAGGGAAGTTTAAGACTTCACTGGATTCAGGAAACAGTAAGAGTGGGGCTTGTTCCAGAGAGGAATAATGAATTTAGGTTTTAACACACAACTTTAAACCCATCTGCGTTTTATTGAGCTCTATTCAGGGTTCGTGCTCGAGGTGAGGGCTGGGAGAGCCACTGCCCATCCCCTGAATGGCAAATAGTTTCTGAAAATCTCAAATGAATCCGTAACGGACGGCTTGTGGTCCTAACTACTTCCGTTTCGTTACCATGAGCACCGTGCCGTGGAAATAACTGTTCTCCCGTGTCGGAAGTTGTGGAATATCCTCAGCCACGGACGTTGGCGTTGCTTTGCGTTTTCCGTCAACAGCAGCGACGCTGAACTGCCCGCGCCCTGCGAATAGAGCAGATAGCGAGGCACGCTCGCGCGCCGCGGGGAGACGCGCCAAGACGAGCCTGGTGCGGAATCTGATGGGCCAGAAAGATACAAAACCCTCTGCCGTGGCTGAATTTCCCAAGGATTTTGAAAAGGCGGGAGAGCGTGGGGGGAGCTGTGTGGTTACGGTCACCTTCTGTCCTCTTCAGGCGAAAGGGGGGAAGGTGTACGGAGGGGACGAACGTAGCGGTGGACGTCTCGCTTTCTTCTCTCGTAGGCACACACCATGTACCAGGTGGGCTTGATGGAAACGGATCAGCACATTGAGTTTTTCTGGAGCGCGCTGGAGATGTTCACTCAGGAGGAGCTCTGCAAGTTCATCAAGTTCGCCTGTAACCAGGAGCGGATCCCCTTCACCTGCCCGTGCAAAGACGGAGGCCCCGATACGGCCCACGTCCCGCCGTACCCCATGAAAATAGCCCCCCCCGACGGAGCCGCAGGTGAGTCTGCCCTCTGCCCCCTAAGCAGAGCGCGTCCGTTCTGGGGGTTTCGGCTGCGCTTTGGAACGCACGAAGAACAGGGAGGTGGGTAGTTACGGCTGGAAGCAAGGAGAGAGCGAAGCTGGGTTTAGAGGCGTTACATAGTTCAGCCATTGCCCCCCCGGGACAGCAAGAGACTTGTCCGACCCTTGTCTCGCGCGCTTTCAGAGCGATTGGGCTGTCGGGAACACGGTGGCCTCGGAGAAAAGCCCCAAAGGTTGAAGGGAGACGTTACGGGCAGGAGCTTCATTCGAGGGGTGCGGGGGTGGGATGCTCTTGGTGCTGTAGGAGGTGAAAAGCAGCCGCTGCCTTCGGAGCCTTCCCAGCACTTCTTCTCCGCAGGTTCTCCAGACTCCCGGTACATCCGTGTTGAAACGTGCATGTTCATGATCAAACTCCCCCAGTACTCCTCGCTGGACATAATGCTGGAAAAGCTCCGATACGCCATCCACTACCGGGAGGATCCGCTCAGCGGCTGAGCGGGAGAAGGGGGTGGCTGGAGGTGACTCTCTGGGTGGTTTCGTGGCTCTGCTAACGTTGGAAACCCTCCGCGTCGCATCGAGATACCTCCCGTAACACTGGGTGACGAGCGGAGGTTAATTTATTTTCCGAACTTTTGTTCCTGTTACAGTAATTACTGGAAGACTTACATTTTGTATTTGTAGACTTTGTGGTGGACTGGTTATTTTGCTGCCTTGTTTGTGGAATATTTGTAGGATAGTTTAGTAAAGACCAGTTTGTGTATAATTTAATTTTGAAAAACCTTTAGACATGTACATTTCTAATTTTGTAATTGGGAGCGATACTACCCACGCAAACAACAGCAGCGAGGGCGCTCGGAGCTCGGGAGCGCTCCGAGCTGAAGGCTCCTGGGTCGCTCTCCCCTGCAACATTTTTGAGTACAGAAACGGGAAGAATGGGGTGTGAGGAGGGAATCGCCTGCAGGGACAGAGCACGGTGCCTCTTCCGTTGCAGGCAGAGATCGTGCAGAATTTCTAGCACTTGCTTGAGTTGTAGAGCAGAAAATACGCTGCCAAACTGCATGTTTACGTCACCGCTGTTTCCTTGTAACTTTTGAAACTCTAAGCAAGCAGGAGGGTGGCTGCCACAGCTCACTTGGGGTTTCAGCTGGACACTGGATTAGGAAGATTTAGAATTGGAAGAACAGTGAAAGGGCTGTAATTCAGTCGGGTTCCTGCCCTGGATGTTCTTGGATGCCCGCATCGCTCGGTAGCGACATCGTCTGCTGTAATTACCCCGAGCAGCCAGACAACAGCTTCTCGCCATGGTGCGAGGTACCACGGTTCAAGCTGCTGGTCTGCGACTTCATCCCGTTCCTGAACAAGCTTTGAGAGTAACCGGTGTGCGGTTAAACACCCGAAATCCTCTTTTTGTACTCGGAAATGACCTTTGATCTAAGAGCAAATTATCCTAGAAATGTGACACCGGGAGGAGGAGGAGGTGGTGGAAGGCACGGAGTCACGTGTTGAAGATGAAGCTCCTGTTTTCCGTGGAAGGACGGCAGCGGGCTACGGAGCGAGAACAGCTCTCCAAGTATGCTGAGGAGCGTGCTCTGGGGGGGTTTCCAAGCACATCAACACCCGGTCTTCCTTTCACTCCTACAAAAGCGGTGGCTCGCTCGCCGGGAACGCGGATCGCCTGCCTGCTGACGGGACAGAGACTACCCTGCCGTCACCGTCGACACGGGATGTGCCGGTACCCAGCCACCGGCTCTCGTTTTCCTTCCGCCGCGCTTAGCGCCCCTCAGCCACGCGAAAGCTCCGCGATGGTGCACAACTACTTTAAGGTCGGTGTTGTCTGTCGCTTCACGACGCTGTCGTGGCTCGTCAGTGGGAAGGGAAAAAGCTGTATCTATTGTATATTCTTGTGAATATTGGGAATGAGGAGTGTGTGGGACTTGGAAGATGAGATGAAAAGCCTAAACAAGTGTGTATATTCTTGTTCTTCTGTGAGCGAATGGCAAGGTGTGTGTGCTACAGTTGTCGCGATAGGTGTTGGCCTATGGAGTCTCCACATCCCGTGTTAGGAAAGCCGTGTGACCCTTCTCTTGCATATTGCCCTCGCACGGGGACAGACACGTAGGAAGCATATTTACTCTTGAATCTTGTCCCTTTCCTGGTAGAAGCATTTATGTAGCTGAGAAACCCCTCGGAATGAGAGCAAACACACCTGCGAGCTTACGGAGACCAGGGGGGGATCCCAAGCCTGGAGCCGGTTTATTCCCGCCCGGGCTGTGTGTTCCCGAGCAGGCGCTGCACGGATCCATGAAGGATGCAGAACCGCCGTTGTGGGTGAGGACCCGTTTGGGGTTTCTTCCTGGCGATGGGATGGTGGGTTCAGATTGGGTTGAAATCCCCCGTTTTGGGCCCATGACGCTTTGGGCGGGCTTGCAGCGCTGTCACGTACCTCGCTCGCAGGGGTTCGGGGGCTCAAGGCTGCGATTCCAGCAGGGAGCTGAACTGCTGCTAACGTCCGTCCTCTCCTGCCAGCGAGCACGTCCGAGCGGCACGTATCCGCGTCTCGGCCCCGAGAAGGGTGCTGTAACGTTACTTGATACCTATTTATTACAGTTAATTATTTATGATTACAAATAACAAACTTCCCGGCAGTGCTGTTTACACCTTGCGGTGTAAACGAAGCTTCTTACACAGGAAAGAGGTCGCACCCATCACTAACCCTCACCGACTCTGGGGTTTGTGACGAACAGCGTGAGCCCGGCAGGAGAAGGAGCTGTGGTAGGGTTTTGGGCTTTGTTTGGTTCTTACGTTACTGGGAAGGAAGCGCTGCAGTGCCTCGACTGCAGCTCCAATGGCCTTTTAATTAAAGCTTTTCTAACCATCATTACTTCCTCGTGCTTTAAATGAACTTGACATTGTCTGTACTAGGCTTGTTCGTCAAAGCAAAGATTGGGTTGTGACTTATTTTCTTCCTTTTTTAAAGATATGTATTCATGCAGAATGTAAAATTATACTAAACAATGGCAGAACTCTGGAGCTGGTATTAGTTCTAGCTTGGTGTGTGTCCACCTTGGTACCGTACACAGCATTAACCTGTTAAGTGCTCTTGGCCATACCGTGTACACCCGCATAAAGGAGATTCTTAACATCCCTTAGACGTACTGTGTCCTTATTTGGGGCTGGAAGTAGCCGGAAGAAACGGTTCCTCCGCTGCTGAAGGCAGGGGATTAGAACTGCTACAAATTAAGCTGCAGTTTGTCTGCTTTTAAATCCCACTTCTATGGGTTAACACACTGAAATTTGCGTTTACTGGGAAGAAAACGTGTGTGTACGACAGGGGAAGCGTAGCGCCATCGCTGCTGATACTCCTCTGCCTGCGTTACTCCTCAGCCCAGCAATCAGTGACTTCTCACGCTAACGAGCGAGGCATCCTCTTAACCCTCACGCCCAGGGGCGCTGGCTTTGCCTCCCGCGTCCTGCCACAGCCGTTCTCCCCAGAAAAGCTAGCGCAAGGCTGGTTCCCACCTGTTTTTAAAGGCCTTTCTTCTGCTTTTCTTGTATAAATAAACACATTTGGTGGAAGCATCCCTAAAATGTCGTTATTTTAGAACGATCCCTTTGGCCTTCGTTAGTTGTCTTCTGCGGCTTGTGTGACCGTGCTGGAGCCGAGGCCTCGCGCAGCGCAGCCCTGCCCAGGACGGGGGCTGGCTCGGTGTCCCGGCGGATGCCATCTGCTCTCCCCTCATCGGGCTGATGCCCACAGCCCTTGCAGAGGCCGGCCGACTCCTGCGCCTGCTGAGCCGCCGCAGCAGGGACGCCAACAGGGCTCGGAAGGCAAACTAGCAACGGCCCACAGCCGGTGATAACAAAGCCCGCTCCCCGTGCTTCAGACTGGCCATCGCCGGGTGTGGGGTGATACACTCGCCCTCAGGTAACCTCTGTGCTCCCCCAGCGCCTCGGGTAAGGGATTGTTACTGCGCGATGCTTTGGGACAGGGTTAGAGAAATTTTATTGCAGGCAATTTAAAAAGCACGGATTAATACAGCATTAAAAAGCTTTTAGGAGACAGCTGTGGGCTCAGCGCTTATCCCCCGACACTGGTAATCCCCTCCCCAGCATCCTCCTGGCTGTGAGCGCACCCACGTCTTTCGCCTGCTGTTGCTGCCTTCGGGATGAGGGAGGGGCTCGAGAGCAGCGGGACACGGGCGTGAGGGGCGTCGGGCTGTCAAAAACCCCCTTTTGCTGGGTGTCACAGGGAACGGAACCGTGACCCAGGTGGTTCCCAAGGCAGAAGTGTATTTGCTGTCGTGGGACACTGCTAGCAGAGCTCATGGGAGTAAAAACCTGTACTCCACACTCTCACAAATTAAAAATACATACAGATATATATATAAAATAACTGCCTATAAAAATTTAAATTCACAAAGTCTTCAGTGACACAGTGATGCAGGAATCTACTTGCACTCAGATAAACAAGTAGAGTGCGAAACGTGTTGTTTCTAAGTGGTGGGTCCCTTCCCTGGGTAGCGGGATGCTGGGCTCCGGGCTTTGGCCTAAAGGGAAGCGAGGGGAAAAAAGTGAAACTGCCGCTTTCCAGGTGCAACAAGCGACCACCACCAGCCTCCCTGGAGCAGGAGGGGCTGTAAAACAAGCTCGGGGTGCTGGCAGAGCCGAGGCACAGCGAGGCGGGGGTGGCTCACGCAGGCACCAAGTGGAGGGGTGACAGCCAGGAGGCCAAGGGGAGGTGTGCACCCCCCGCCCTGAGGCACCCCCTGCCTTACCTCTCTGCTCCTGCGCCCCAAGCCCACGGGCCTTCCTCCTCCTCCTCCTCCTCCGCCACCGGTGCTGTAGGACAGAGACACTCTCAGAGGAAGCCAGGCTACTGCCTGCGCTGCTCCTCAGTGAAGCCAGGTCCCTCGCGGCAGGGGGACGCTGGCAGCTCGGGGAAGAAGCCCTTCCTACTTCTCCCAAACCCGGACCCGGCCGTTTTTGAGCAGAAGAACCGCACCCGACTGAACCGCCTTGAGGCACTTCAGTCACACGGGCTGCACGGCCGGGGGAGCCCAAGCAGCGACGCAGGGTAGCGGTCACGCAGGCGGAGTTAAGCAGCAAAGGAAGTGATGAGCCGTGAAGGCAGTGCGCAAAAATTGTTGGATTTCATTTTTGGTTTATGCACGTTTGAGTTTTGAGGGAGCAAAAGAGAAAAGCTGAGAGCTACAACGGACAGACAGCAAGGCCTTATCCTCCCATTTTGTCCATTCCACCCCGATATAAAAGCCTAAGGTCGCTGTTTGACACCCAGGTAAGCACAAGCCAAACGGGGCTGAGTGAAACCCTTTCGGCCCCCGGCGCAAACGCGGGAGCCCAGACGAGCACCATCGAGAAGCCGGGCGGAGGGCTGGGGTGGGTTTGTCGTGCGGCTGCACAGCAGAACTTGCTCAACGGTGCCGCTGGCCCCCTCTGCCTTAGAGCAAGCCCAGCCTGGCTGCCTGGGAGGGGGGAGGAAGGCGTTACCTTGGCTGGGTTGGAGAAGTCCTCGAGGAGCTGGAGGTGAAGGCTTCGGAATGAAAGCTCCGAGCGGGTCTGGCCCGTGGCATTGTCCCACCCACGGATTCACTTGCGCCTCTGTTCTTTGGTCTTCCCTCGCTGCCAGCCACCTTCCGGGGCTTCCCTCTGGAGTCGGGAGCATCGCTAGCTCTCGCTGAAGAGGACAACGGTGCGCTGCTGGCGTTTGCTGTGTTACTCGGTGACCTGGTCCCTCGTGCAGGATAGCTGAGCCTCTGCTGCCCAAAGCCGCCTACGGACCGAGGCGAAACATCTCCTGCGAGGACACGGATACAGCGCTTAGTAGGAACAGTAAATGCAGCATGAGACGTCGGAGACCACCCAGGTGACAAAACTAGACCTTATTTCCATTCCAGCAGCATACAGCTTCATAACCAAGATCTCTGAGGATTCCAAGCTTTAGTGATTTAACAGTTCTTGCCCAAGACCAGACCAATGGTAGGGGACGTAAGGTTTTTCAGTTTTGGAGACAGAACAGGGTAACAGCATCTATTCAGCTCGGAACATGCACAGTGTTCCTGCAACTGTGAGAGAGGAGTGCGTGTATGTCTGTGTTTTGCCCACACCTTGATGCCTGATCCGTCTCTGAGCCGGCGCTGGTGCTTCCTTTCTCCCTCTCTTGTCCTGAGGAGACAGCAGCTGCCGGGGTGGAAAGCTGGCTGCCGGGCTGGCCGGGCGCAGATCACAATGGTGCTAAAGCAAGACAGAAATTTTGGCGTTTAGATGACAGCTTGTTCAGACTTTCTCCTGTAAAAACACTGCAGAGCATCACCCCTCAGAAATTTTTTGGTAGGCCTGCTCCTGTGCCTGTAAGATTTAGAACATCCAGCCCTCCCGGCCTCCTCTGCCCTCCCGGGCTGTCTCCCATGGGACTCTGTCAACCAGGCCCCTAAAGAGGCCAGAGTCAGCCCTCCAGCAGCCCAGGGTGGCACTTCTGCTGGCCCCCTTCTTACTTCTCCCAGAATCACACTGATGTATGTATATGATAATCCTGATTATCACACACAAACCTAGCCAAAACTACTAGGAGCTTGTAGATAAAGCAGTCTTTGCATTCTGCATCTCCAGAACGGTTACAGGGTGTGGGGGAAAAAAAAAAGGTCTTCCAACAGCCAACTGTAATAGGAAGCGGATGGGACTTCTCCTCAGCAATCAAGCACTACATTTAGCAAATGATAACTGTGATATTTTACCACATCTCCTTCTATTAATACTGAATTCACTATCACCAAGGAGAGGAAAGGCCTCGAAAAACAGACAGACAAAATACAGCTTCACCAGTGTATTCGTTAGGACTGTAAGAACTGTTAACTTCCCCATTTCAGCTGTGAAACAGAAAGAGAGCAAGCTCAGCCTTTTCACAACTCGTCTGTAACAGCAGCAAATTCCAGAGGACCGTCTCTTCCACAAGCACCCCATCCCCCAAATCTGCTCTTCAGGTGTGCAGAAGCATGGAAGCCCTAAGTGGTGTGGTTGTGTGTGTCCAGCCTTCGTGAGAGCAGGAACAGCTCCAGCAGTGCCAAGAGCTGGTGTTCCTTCGGCATCAGAGGTATCAGAGAGCAACATACTGAAGAATTGCAATAAACTAGCATAAGCTCTCTGCAGCACCCAGGACTTCATAAACCCACCACTTCTCTCTGGCTGAGCTTCCCATACACTCACGCTCTCACCCCTTCCCACTCCCCTTACATCCACCCTCTGAGAATTCCTCCATCCGGGATCTGCCGTCTGTTGTCTACTTCCTCTCTTCCTGCACAGCTCAGACACTCGTGCTCCTCTCCCACCTTAGCTGGGATTCACGCATCTTGTTTCAACACAACTTTTACATACAAGTCAAACATTTATATTGTGCAATTTCAGGACCTTTTCTTTAGTTTTCATTATACGAGCTTTCAAAATAACTGTTATTTTTCAAGAGGAGCTTCCGCATACCATAACATTTTAGGTGGGACCCAAGAGGCTTTGTTTAGGAAGATGTGACGCAGGGGACAGTTACGTGACTTCCTGAAACGTGCCTCAAGAGCTGGCAGGACTGGGTGTAGTTCTCAAACAAGTGGATGTCATACAACAAGCCAAGTTCTG